GAGCTTGCAGGTTATTTCCAGAGTAAAAGAGGTCTACGACAAGGTTGTTCCCTTTCTCCCTACTTATTTGTGCTTTGCATGAATGTTTTATCAAGAATGCTGGATGATGCGGCTAAGAGGAAGAAGATAGGTTTCCATCCTCGTTGTGAGAAGCTTAATCTGACTCATTTGCGTTTCGCGGATGATCTTATGATCTTCACGGATGGTACACAGCATTCTATTGAAGGGATTCTCAAAGTGTTCGAAGTTTTTGACAAGATAAGTGGGTTGAAGATTAGCAAGGAGAAGTCAGTGTTATTCATGGCTGGTGCTAATCGTAATGAGGAGGAGATTTATAGGCAGTTTCAGTTTGCTTCTGGGAAGTTACCTATTAACTAAGAACATGACCGTTACTGATTTTCTTCCGCTTGTTGAGAAGATAAGAAAGAGAATCTGTTCATGGAGGGGGAGATTCCTCTCATATGCAGGGCGTTTACAGATGATTAATTCAGTCATTAGGAGTCTCACAAACTTCTGGATGGCAGCTTTTCGCCTCCCAAGCAGTTGTATTACTGAGATCGAAAGAATTTGTTCAGCCTTTTTATGGTCAGGGCCTGATCTTAATGGAAGAAGAGCTAAGATATCCTGGGAAGATATTTGCAAGCTTAAGCAAGAGGGTGGTCTGGGGCTGAGGCCATTAAAAGAGGTAAACATGGTTAGTTGCCTTAAGCTCATTTGGAGAATTCTTTCAGCTAATTCGCTTTGGGTTAATTGGGTGAAGATCTACTTGATTAGAAAGGGATCACTTTGGACGGTTAAGGAGAATAATCAGTGTGGGTCTTGGATGTGGAGGAAAATTTTGAAGGCTCGAGAGATGGCAAAGCAGTTTTATAGAGTAGAAGTAAAGAATGGTAGCAGAACTTCGTTTTGGTTTGATGTTTGGTGTCCTCTTGGTCGCTTGATAGATGTTGCAGATGTTGGTAGTCACATTGATTTGGGGATCTTGATGAATGCTAGTGTTAATGAGAGCTTAAATCACCGTAAGAGGCGACATAGAGTTCAGATTCTAAATAATATTGAGGAAGAGATTGTAAAGTTTAAAGATAATTGGAGTGTTGATGAGGATATCCCACTTTGGAGGAATGAAAAAAATAAATACAGGGAACGTTTCTCTACTAGAAACACATGGCTTAGTATAAGAAGTAGACATCAGCCCTGCCACTGGTATCATGCAGTTTGGTTTAAGCACGCAACGCCTAAATACTCTGTGGTCACCTGGTTAGCAGTGAGAGGGAGGTTAGCAACTGGTGATAGAATGGTACATTGGAATGGTAATGCTGTTGTTTCTTGCGCTTTGTGTCATGAACCTTTGGAAACTTTGCATCATCTTTTCTTTGAGTGTCATTATTCGAAGCAAGTTTGGGAGGTGCTAACGAGGGGTATTCTTGGAGTTCAATATACTATACATTTGGATCAAATTATTAGTATGCTGGGGGGGAGGTTGAGTTGGAGCAGAGTGAAATTATTCACCTTAAGATATATTTTGCAATCTGCTATACATTCCATCTAGATGGAGCGTAATAGAAGGAGACATGGGGAGGTTGCTACTCCTGTGGAGATCTTGATTAGAAGAATTGATAAAAACATGAGAAACGAATTTACGGTTATTCAAAGAAGGGGGGATGAGGATTATAGAGAAGGGATGTGTTTCTGGTTTAGTACCAGAAGACATTAGAGTGTGACTCTCTCGTTGGTGGCTGGTCTTGGTGTTTCTTTCATATACTTTGGAGGTTAAAGGGGAGGTTGGAAGGATGGCGCAAGTTTGGCCAGTAGGAGTGAGAGCTGGCACCTTAGTAGGAGTGAGTGCTAAGGTTGGTTTTTCAATGAGATTTTCAAAACCAGTAGGAGTGAGTGCTGGCTCTTAGTAGGAGTGAGTGCTATGAGTTTGTTTATCTCATTGGAAATGAAGGGGGTTGAGTCTTGGATTGGGAATGAAGGTTTGAGTATTGGATTGGTCTTATAGAAAAAGATGGATGTTTGGGAGCTGGCGCAACAGAGTTTGGAGCTGATTGTTTTTATACAACCTTTGTTTTGTTCCTTTCTTTGCCTTTTGTTTAGAATACTAAAAAGGGACATATATAGTTGTAACAAGGTCTTTTCTTTTTGAATTAAATTTAACATTCAATTAAAAAAAAAAAAAGATGAACAATTAGAATTTTTGCTGATAAATTTTTACGGTCGTGGGTGATTGTCGCATTGGTAATGAACTATTAAACTATTGTAATGTTAGGTGTTAATCATTGCATTTTTTACTAACGATTTCAATTATATATATAATACAATATATTTTTATAAAATGAGTTTCCGTGTGATATCGCACGAGTTTTTTACCTAGTATATATATAGAAGAATATATATATATATATATATATATATATATATATATATATATATATATATATATATATATATATAAGTGTATCTTAAATTCTAATATAATGTGCTCTAAAATACTTAGTTTAATCTTAAATAAAATTAATATTAACTTTCATTTTTTGTATTTGTAGTTCTCTATAAAAATTATAAACTTCTCTTATTAGTAGTTTTTACTTTCTAGCAAAATGTAATCATTTTACTTTCTTATATATATAGAATTTTTTAACATAAAAATCTCTCAACTAAGTTTTTTGGGTAAAAAACCCTTAAACTAAATATTTAACCAAAAAAAACCCCCAAACTAACTTTATTTAATGATTTAAACCTTCGTCGGTCTTAATTACCAGTACTAGTGGTAAATCTTTAGTTTAGAAGTTTTGCGTTAAACATAAAAAATCAAAAAAAAAATCAAAATATGATAATAATATCTAAAAATTCGTATTTTTAATTTTCAAAACTAACATTTAAACATTTCTGTAAATATATGAGTGATTTGTTATCCTTTTAAAATGGAATTTTAACTCTAAAATACCTCAACTAAGTTTATTTTGGGTAAAAACCCCTAACTAATAAGTAAACCCACATATTTAGTAAACATAGTTGAAGGGTATTATCATTAAAAATCTTTAATTTTTTTTTAACATTATCTAAAAAATAGCAACTTCAATTTTTAAAATTAGCATTTTAAAACTTTCTGTAAATATATGAGTTTGATTTGTAACATCAACATTATATATATATATATATATATAAATTAAAATTGTGAAACACCAAAAATATATAAAAATCATCTAAAGATTTATTATTAAATTTTTATTAGATAAGATATAATTTTTATTCTGTTTTCTTGTTTTTAAAATTTATTACTTTTTGATAATTTTTATTACAGGTAAATCTTTAGATAATTTTTGCTATATTTTCTGGGTTTTTACATTTTAAATTTATACATATATAATGTTTTTTGTACATTTATAATGTTGATTTTAAAAGGATAACAAATTAGACTCATATATTTACAGATTTTGTTTTTAAAATGTTAGTTTAAAAAAATTAAATTATGAATTTTTAGATATTGTTTTTATTTTTAATGATAAAACCCCTAAACTAAAAATTTACCGGTAGTACTGGTAATTATAATTGGTGAGAGTTTAATTCGTTAAATAAAGTTAGTTTGGGGTTTTTTCATTAAATACTTAGTTTAAGGGATTTTATCCAAAACAAACTTAGTTGAGAGGTTTTTATATTAAAAATCCACATATATATAAGTATATCTTACATTCTAATATAAGGTACTCTAAAATATTTAGTTTACTCTTAAATAAAAATTAATATTAACTTTCATTATTTGTATTTGTAGTTCTCTATAAAAATTATAAACTTCTCTTATTAGTAGTTTTTACTTTCTAGCTAAATGTAATCATTTTACATTTTCAATGTTTCTCTATCTTTTTATAACAGAAAGTAAAATAAAATTATTTCAGAGTTGCGATTGAGATACAACATAAAAGCTAGTTTAAGAAAGAAAAAAAACTATCCTACCAGAAACTCACTACAATATTGTACAATACAGAAATATGATTTAGGATGACAAAAGCAGAAATATGATGACTAAAACATTATTTTAAAATGTTTTCAAAATACAATATTTTGATGACAAAGTATAACATATATTTGTATTAGAATGCGCAAGATGATGTGATCATATCACTACTTTGGGATTCTGAACTAGAGTCCCTCTTGGCATATGAAAACTGGAAACATTTATGATTCAGCTTTTCATATTTTTTTTGTGTTATGGGATGGATCCATGTAGTTATATAATAGTATAGCATCTTTGAACGTTTGTGAGGGGTGGCCGTCTAAAGCTGGCGTGTTTTCCCAATGATAAGCTTTGCCGTTGCATATTCGAACTTCTCTGTTCTGCTTTTACGATGGATCAAATGATATATTAATCCGTGGCTACTTTTCCAACATTGTTGAGCAGTTTTGAATATGGAAGGCTCTATTCAAGTCACATGCTCTCCTTGGCTGCTGCGTTGATAACATATTTTCATAACATGTAAGCTTTTCATTCCTAAGTCTGCTTGGAACATTTTTTAGGTCTTGGACTTGCACTTCCTTTAGGGAGGAATGGTGTTCAACCACTATAGAACACTGCGAGTTTAAAACGTGTGGATTATATATATATATAGTTTTAACAAAATTCGAGGATCCACGAACGAGGATTCAACTGCCCATGTGTTTCAAAGAGAAAATGCTTCATGAGTCACTTCTCATTATGTACCTATCCTATAACTTTTCCTTTGTCAGATTTTTATGTTTTCATCTTCTTATCTTTAATTAACGAATTCAAGTTCAATCGGTTTGGGTCAGCTTAAGTGAAAAAAAAAATTAGACAGTGGGAAAGCAATGCAAATGACTGGTCACAGGATTCCATAAGAAACACAAAAGCACATAAACAATAGTCTCAACGAAAAATACACAACACTTGGTAGTTCCAATCATAACTAAGGTCTCAGAAAACATTAAAAACAGTGAAATGAAAAAGGTAATGGATAGAGATATCTTAAGAGTGATATGATTACTCAATTGTTGTTAGGAGGAGGTGGTGAAACACGGACTTTGAGAACACCAAACTCTGCATCCCAAGCGATGTCGTGGTTCAGAAGTGGAATCCCATAGGCACAACATGTACGGTCGACGGCTCCAAGGAAAATGCGGCAACTCTCGTCGTGCTCATAAACCTCCTTGTTCTCCCCGTAGAACTTGATCTCATTCTCGTTAGGAAGCATGAACATGTCATCACTGCAAACACCTGGCATATCCACTGAAAAGTGGAAACATCCATCAGATGTTCGTTGGCGAGTGACTACACCCTTACGACCTTTCACCACAAACGGATGTTCCTCCACCACTCCAACCATGTTAAATGATTTCACATCGTATTTGTATCTCTCATCAGATGACCGTTGGTAATCGTATCTTCCAGATCTCCCTTTTAAAACAAACACACAGCAAAACGACATCGATTATTTTTTTAAAAAATTTTACAAAACGCAAAACAACAAAAGGGTGTGATTGTGATTTTGGTTATTCGAACCTGCGTTAGGAGGCACAAAGTGGGTACACTTGTTGTCTTGATGGTCTTTGTTGACTTTGACCCTTGACACAATCATCCTCAAGACTCCATCTTTCATCTTCGCATCCACTCCGGTTATCTCGCAGCAGTCACACCCTAAACCGGCGGATCCAGAGTACTCACGAACGTCCTCAACCTTGACGCCGTCGCGGAGAGTTTCTTCACCGGAGAAAAAGACGAGCTTTTGTCTCACGGCGTCGACTCTGTAGCGGATAGCGTCGTCTGGAACTCCGGGCAAGTCGACGCGGACGTAGAGGTCGTCGCTCCTGGGAAGGACCTTGATTTCCATGAAACCCTTTGGACCGTATCTCTGGTACGGGTGGTTCGTCGCGTGCAACCTCCCTGCAGTTTCATTACACAACAAGATCAACTTAGTAGACACACTAAGAGTCGATAAGAAATTATTCTTTTTGGAGGATCAAAATCAAAAAGATTAAATCTTTCCAACAAAGTTTCATCTTAAAAACACTTAAACAAAGCCACCAAATAAGAGAATGCAATAAAGACTGAAACTTTATTCTTCATGGAAGATCAAAACTAAGATGCGATAAAGACTGAGACTTTACGTTCATGGAGGGTCGAAAAAGAGTAAAGCTTTGCGACAAAGTTTCATGTTAAAAAGAGAAAGAAAGAGACACAAACCAGGGATGAAAGGAATCCGTGACATGTCAATGAGTGAAGCCATCTCTTTTCTTCTTCTTTCTCTGTATTCTCTCTCTCTCTCTCGGTTGCGTGATATTGGATTATGATTATGATTTTTTTTGAGCAAATATACAAATATAGGAGGCTTTTTGACTGGTCATCGCTTTGCTTAATGTTACTGTTACCTCTCCCTTTTTAACCACTGTTAAAATAACAAAGAGTTGCTTTCCTTCTCTGCAATTGTTACCGTGGTAAGAACCTCGGAGACTAGTACTATAGAGAGCTAGCTGTCTGTCCATCTCTTTTCCTTCAGTAGTCCTTTTGAATGCGACAAAACAGTGAAACGAGGGGAAGCAATGAGCTGACGTCAATGATAATTAATGAGCTGTCACTTTTTTTCACATACGACAAACAAAAGTTAACATGCAATGCAAACGTCTCAATTTCCTTGTTTATGAATCAACTCCTCCTTTGTAACAACCAATTTTAGATGTTTTTATTGCATGTTTACTTATTTGTTCTGACCACAATTTTAAAAGTTTTGTTTTACCCATTCAGATAACAAGTGTGGTGTCGTACATGGGAGTAATAATTATGTAGAGGCCAAATTGATTTAATGTGCCTAGCGTATCAGTTAACTCCAAGCACACAGTTGCTTTACTAAGTTGATTTTCTTAATTACATCATTAGAAAATATTGCCAGTGAATATGAACTATAACCTTATTGTTATCTGAATCTCAAAGTGATTTTGCTTTGTTTTGTCAAGGAAGTTTTAATGGACTTCGATACAATAGTAATATCTGAACCAAGTAACAAAAAAATAACATCCTTTGAGATTGCAAATCACCTCATTACTATCAGAGCAAAATCTACATTATATATAGATAGATATAGATAGCTACAGAATTCGGTTCGGATTTAAATTGGTGCATGTAACACGCGTGAATTAAACAAAGAAACCCTCTACTTCACCGAGAGTCTTCTTCTTCCCAAAAAAAAAAACAATAAGATGGGTCTGGAAGAGGATCTTTCTCTGTCATACGAGACGAAATTATTAGACGGATTGTGATTGGAATATTCGGATTCGATATCATATTGAAGAAGAATCAGCGAATTGCGAGAGTGGTTATGGAAGGAGTAGGAGGTCGGTTAGGAAGGTCCTCGACTCGTTACGGAGGACCTGCGACGGTGTTCACAGGTCCGGTGAGGAAGTGGAAGAAGAAGTGGGTTCACGTCTCTCCCTCCTCTGCCAAGAAACATAACCACTCCTCCGCTGCTTCAGACAGCGCTGATGGATCGCATTTGTTGTTCTTCAAGTGGGCTCCATTGTCTCAGAATGGAAACGGGAATGAAGATGGTAAAAGTGAGAGTCTTTCTCCGAGTGAAGACCCTCTGGTGGTCGCAGCAGCAGAAGAGGATCCTCCACGGAGGCGCAGATTCAAATATGTTCCGGTTTGTTTCTGAGTTGGCGTTAAAGATTTGAGCTTTGCGGTTTTTGTGAGGAGCTTAGGTGATTGATATAGTGATTAGGGTTTAAAAGGTTAGGTTTTTGAGCTCCCATGAAGGACTAATTGGACTAGCTTACGTGTCTCTGTTTAGTCATTTTATTTGGATAAAATTTATGATTAGGGTCTTTAATAGCATTGATTTGGGAATGGTTGATATAGTGATTAGGGTTTAATCGTCGATTTTACATTGAAAAGGTTCAGTTTTTGAGCTCCCATGTAGGACTAATTGGACTAGCTTTCGTCTCTGTTTAGCCATTTTTTAGATAAAACCGAGGAATGGATAGTAGAGCATGTCTTAAAATGTTCTTGAAGTTTTGATTTTTTTAAGCAAGAAAGGTGATGATATAGGCTTTAAGGCATTGGAGTTTCGTTTGCTGTATGGGTTGAATTGTTTTGGGTTAGAATTGTGGAGCTTTAGTATTTTTCATTCAACCAACATATTCTGGATTGTTTTAGAGTCTTTGTGATCATCTGAAGTTTTAGTGTGATTGGAATGGTGTAGATCGCAGTACTTGAGGAGCAGAAGAACGAAGTTACAGAAATTGAGGAAGATGATAAGGTTGAAGAAGAAGACGACAAGATTGAGGAGGAGGAGAATAAAGAAAATGAGGAAGACGCAAGTGCAGCAGAGCCAAGCGAGAAGAAAGCACAAGTTGAGGAAAAACCAGACATGAATGATGTTCCCATGGATGATAATCAGGTAACACTTTTTTATATCACCTTAAGCTCCATTCCTTTTTAGCCTTACCAAACTTAAGTCTCTACCTTCTTGTGAATTTACTTGTTTTTTTCTGCTTATAAGCCATTGATGATGGATTCTGGAACCATTTTTGTTAAAGAGAGTAAATGTCGTTTCTTTTGGTAGGCTTGTTAAATAAAATTTTTCTTACCATTATGGCTAGTAGCCTACTTAGCATCTTCCTTGAAGTCTTCTTGGACTCTAGAGTATGTTCACTCGTCAGTGTTCAAAGTCTTATCTGTTTGTTTCTTAGCAGGAGGAAGAAAAAACAGTGCGACAAGATCTGAACGAAAGCACTAAGGATTCAGGACTCAACTTGAATGCGAACGATGTAGATGTAGATTCTGAAAACAATCCGAAAGGGGCCGAGAGCCATTAGAAGAGAGATAAACTGGCGTCTGCAACTCGGGTTTGGCTCTTCTGTCCTCAACTTTTACTGTAGTTAGGAACAAAGACAAACATAAAAGTAGAAAACAATTGTCTGTACGTCCCACGGCTTGTTCTTTTTTTTTTTTCCTTTTGATGAACAGACTCATTCATTCGGAACTAAACATTTGATTCATAGAAGATTCTTGTTTTTCTTTGTCTGAATTTTAGTTTGATGAAGTATTTAGAAGGTTTTGAGTATGTATAATGCACTTTGTAGCATATGAACAAAGCTTTTGACCTCATTGATCATTTCAGCAAATACAAACCTTGGGGAATAATGTCTTCAGAATCATTGTAGTTCTAAGAAGAGTAAGACACTAAAATACAATAATAGAAAGAAGAAAGCAGTCGTTAGAGATGTCCAAATTGGCAACTCCCTGAGAATCCTTTACTAGCCAGGTTTGTTCCTGATAGTCATTAATTAGAAAGTGAACATGCAACTCACTGAGAATTGTTGCTATATTGTTCTTATGGTCTGAACTTTAATTTGATTCAAAATTCAGAACCTTTTATTTTACATTGGGTGATGTACTTTGAAAGTAGCTTATGAATGGAGCTGTGATCTCCTTTATCATTTGAGCAAATAACAAACAGGAGTTTATTTTAAGAAAAAAACATAGGGAAATGAGTTCGTAATCCAACCCATTACATCTGGGAATTCAAAGAAAAATCAAATATCTCAGGACTCTTGACTTTCAAACACAAGGAAGATGATTATCATATCAAAATCTTCCTTTCATGTTTCATCTTCTTCTTTTTCGTCGTAATCATTCTTTGGCAACAACAGGCTCCACTTCAGATGCAAAATCGTTTCTGTAGAGCATAACATGTGTAAGCAAAGAGTTAACAAAATGTTCAATAGTAGAAAGTATTGCAGAAAAAAAGAGGAGACTGCTTCCAGTAGCCTACACTAAAAGAGTGTTTTTGTTGCACATATTTTCAAGTAATGTAAGAAGAAACGGGATCTTTTTACTTGATTTTACGAGCAAGCTGGTACATGCCAGTCCCAGCCATAGCAACATTGACACTAAAGAGGTTCCAGTTTTTCTGCAATCAAATCAAACAAAAGTGAGAAAAGAGCCGTGATGGCATTCTGATGAAGAGGAGTGTTTAAAAAATTTAACTCACGGGAGTGATAACCATGCTGTAGCGAGACCAGATAACTCCAGTGCATGTAACAGCTAACAAAATATATCAGATAGAAAATACTATTAATAGGTATAACAAACGAAAGCAAATCAAAGACATTGGGAGTAAGAAAGCGATAAGGATAGTGGTACCAATCTGTTGAGGGTAGGATATTTTGTCAGTAGGTTTAGCAAAGTCAGCAATGTTAGCAATGCTGATTCCCCACTTGAACGTTGGCGCCCAGAAATGAACTGACAAAGAGTGACAATAAAAAGAGACACTTGTTAAAATCCACAACAGTAACCATCCACAAACCATTACAAACTACTTATAACATCACTTGTTTAATTACAGTTCAGTTCTGAGAATTGGATAACAGACCAAACACGAGGATTATCAATTCACTGATATATAAAACAAAGATTGATTCTTTTGTGTGTTTGTACCATCGAAATTCTTACATTTTCCCTTAGATCATATCAATCCTAATCCAAAAGTCAAAACCCACCAACAAAGTTTTGATTTTTCTAACTAAAAAAAAAAATCAGGATTCACTAGAATCAGTCCCAGATTGCTCAATTATCTAAATTCGAACATCAATAATCGAAAATCGATGGAAAAAAGAAAAGAAACAGCTTTGAATAGGAGGAGGACTCAACTGGTTTTAGGTCCGGCAGGGTGATTCCACAGAGCTTGAAGCCTTGACGTCGCCATTTGATAATATTCAATCAATCGTCGCTCTCTTCCGTCTCTCCCCAGATTCTCTTTTGCCTTTCCTCTCTGTCTCTTCTTCTTTACCAAAGGGCTGCTGATGATACGATGTCGTTTTAGACACGGTCGAGGATATTTTAGTCATTTCAGCTTCTCCCCTGTTTTTCTTCAGTTAACTTTGAGATTTTCAAAAGTCGTCGCCAAGACTTTTCAGATATATAATTAAGAAAATAGACCATTGTACTGGACATACATACATACATACAAGTCGTCCTTTCTCGAATGGGCAAGCTATTTAGAAACTACTTCCTTTGTAATTGTATCTCTTCTTCTTGCTCAGGGAACTCAGACTCCATGACTCCACCCTTCATCCTGTGGCTTCACGGGTTAGGAGATTCTGGACCTGCCAACGAAAACATCAAGACAGTTTTCAAATCCCCCGAGCTGAGGGACGCTAAGTGGCTCTTCCCTTCTGCTCCTCCCAATCCCGTTACCTGCAACAGTACGATCCTTATAATTTCCTGTTTGTTTTTTCTGTGTCCAAATAAAGATCTATATGTGGTCTGAAAGAATCTTTGATCCTTGTCTTGTTTGCAGACGGTCGGGTGATGCCTTCTTGGTTTGATGTCCCTGAGCTTCCTTTTAATGTGGTATTACTTACTTCTCTCTTTATCTAACTTTTTAATACATTATGGCCGTTATATTGGTTAATCAGTGCATTTTTGTTTATAGAAGATATCAAGTTTTGTTAAAGTAACTTTTTTTATGTGTTAGGGATCTCGAATTGATGAAAGTAGCATTCTTGAAGCAGTTAAGAACGTTCATGCAATTATAGACAAGGAGATTGCAAGAGGAACAAGACCAGAAAACGTGTTCATCTGTGGTTTAAGCCAAGGAGGTGTTATGTTCTGTTCTCTCTTTGCCTTCTTTCATGATTTTTTTTTGCACTTGCATTTGGTGGATACTAATAATAAGATAATGATGCAGGTGCTTTAACCTTGGCTAGTGTTCTTCTCTATCCAAAAACACTTGGAGGAGGAGTTGTCCTTAGCGGTTGGGTGCCATTCACTTCTTCAATCATCAATCAGTTTCCTGAAGAAGCTAAAAAGGTTCATCAAACTTTATATTTCATTGTTTTATGAGTTTCCTAAAGTCTCTTCCATTTTTTTTTGGCAAAATGTAGACACCAATCTTGTGGTCTCATGGTACTGATGATGAGCTTGTGCTCTTTGAAGCTGGTCAAGCTGCTCTTCCTTTTCTTGAACAAGCCGGTGTCACCTGTGAATTCAAGGTATAATCAAAATCAATTAGTAAGTTTCTTAGGGCCAACATACTAAAAATAAACCTCAACTTTTGCATCTGACAGGCGTATCCGGGTCTTGCGCACTGGATGAGCAACAAGGAGCTAGAGTATATAGAGTCATGGATCAAGTCACGCATGCAAAGTTCCTCGTCTTCTTCCTCTTGAAAAGTAACATTTGCATTCAAGACATGAAGAACATGTTTCTAATCGTGTGAGGAAAGATAAAAAAACATTGTTCATCAAGTATATTTGACTGTTTGAATGTAATTGTTATCAAAGAAACTACTATGTTATGTAATTTTATTTGGTAAATTATCATGTTTTTTTTTTAATGTTTGTGTAATGTCTAAACACTTTCTTTTCACTTTTCAACTGAATCCAGTCTTGCCTGCACGTCATGAAAGAACAGAACATAACCAAAAACATCGAGGGTATTTTGGTCATTTAGTCATCATCTCTTTGCTTTTCTTAGAAAGAAAAAAAAACTTTGAGAGATCTCTTCGAGTAAAATAATGGTATTGATATGCGAATAAGCACATTGACGAAACCGATCGTTCTTCTCTCGATCGCACTCTTAAGCACTCTTCTCTTCTTCGCATTCTTTTTCGAGGACAAGCCTTACTCATCATCATCTCCCTCTTCTTCACAAGACTCCATGGCTCGACGAACCTTCATCTTGTGGCTTCACGGTTTGGGAGATTCCGGACCTGCCAACGAACCCATCAAGACTATTTTCAAATCCCATGAGTTTACAAACACTAAGTGGCTCTTCCCATCCGCTCCTCCTAATCCAGTCTCCTGCAATCGTAAGATTGATTCTCTTAAAAGTTTCTTTTTTTTTCTTTTTTATAAATTTAATAGATCATGGATGTGTTTGTTAGTGTTGTGAATCTCATTGTTCTGTAGTGGAGAGATCCTTTGTGTGTCTGAAATCTTTAATTGTGTCTTGTCCCTCTTGTGTAGATGGTATGGTGATGCCTTCTTGGTTTGATATCCGTGAGCTTCCTCTTACCGCGGTAACACTTGTCTCTTACTTAGTAAATTTAAGAGTTAAAGGAAGAGCCTTTCTTGCATTGTTAGGACTCAAGTGTGTGTGGCTTTTATGTGCTAGGGATCTCCGAATGATGAAAGCAGCGTGCTTGAAGCTGTTAAGAACGTTCATACCATTATAGATAAGGAGATTGCTGGAGGAATTAAGGCAGAAAACGTGTATATCTGTGGATTCAGCCAAGGAGGTGTGATCTCTCTTTATATAGTCTTGCATTGCCACCGTGTCTACTGACTATGGTTTTTTTTACAGGGGCATTAACCTTGGCTAGTGTTCTGCTTTACCCTAAAACTCTTGGAGGAGGTGCAGTCTTTAGCGGATGGGTTCCATTTAACTCTTCTGTCATAAATAAGTTTACCAAAGATGCTATTAAGGTTTGTATCTTTTTTCTTTTTTTTTTTTGGTTTTCTTGTTAAAATGTTGATTTTTTCTATTCACTCTTTTGTTTGTGCATATGTAGACACCAATTTTGTGGTCTCATGGGATTGATGACAAGACTGTATTATTTGAAGCTGGTCAAGCAGCTCTTCCTTTCCTTCAACAAGCTGGTGTCACTTGTGAATTCAAGGTACACTAATTAATAACCAAATCAATATCTAAGAGTCAGTCAAATCTAAATACTAGAATCACTTGTTGCTGCCCCCGTGATTATTTTTCTATTTTGATCTTTTAAACAAATCGTTTATATGCAGGTTTATCCAGATCTTGGACACTCAATCAGTAATGAGGAGCTTCAGTATCTGGAGTCATGGATCAAACAAAGGATGCAGAGTACTTCATCTTCTTCTTCTTCTTCTTAAAAGCTTTTGAGAGTTTGTTTGTTTTTCCCAACTACTTCAGTTTACCTATTTGCTAAATGAATAATTAGAAGATTGTGCAACTATGATTGAACATTTGGAAAGTGATGTCTCAACTTCGTCAATTATCAGCATAGATCTATATGACAGTATCTACAATAACAACAACAAACATCCGTTGTTTGATACCAGGTTTCTAAATTGCTTAAAACGTGTAATCTGATCAACCGATAATGAATGATGATAAAACTTTCTGACCAGAGAGAGAATGAGTGACAAAAGAAGACCAACAAAAACTAAATGTATCATAAAGTTGAGATCCAAACGATCTGAAGAGAAACAAGGTCATAATGACTTGAAAGCCAAATATAAGTCCCAAGTTATACGCTTCACTTTCACAGGCTGTTCTTACTACGAAAGCCATAGTATTATTCGGTGGTATGAATGGGAGGAAGAGGGGCCTAACATTGTTCATCAAATATCTTGGCTCTCTAACGACTTTAAGTCAGTATATTTGTGTTATTTATATCATGCGATGCTGACATGCGAACATGTACGAAACCGATCGATCACTGTTTACATATTTACACCTCTTATAGTATCAACCGTTCAAATCAAATGAAGAGAGTAATTACTTCAGTTCATCATATATTCATATGGTTGACAAACCGGTTTTGGTTTAGTGGGTCTAGTTTGGTTTTGGTTATTATGATTTGTGTTGGTTTATTATGTCAATACTTGAAGACAACATCAATATGCTTTTTCTTTTTTGGATTGTCAACACCATGAGATATAAGTGACTAGAACCACAACTTATATATGTTACTTGTTCAAAACTTCAAATAAATCAGTAGCTCAAAAAAATACAAATAATTTTTTGTTTCGTGAAAAGAGTAATACAAATCTTTAGTATTTGCTAGCTTTCGTTCAAATTAATTATTGATATACAATATATGTCGGGCAAATGGCCATCAAATAATATCCTCAAAGTTTTGTGAAAATGATGTTTTTGTAAGTGGAATTTATTTAACGTAATAACGAAGACAAATTAACGTTCACATCATAGTTTTAATAGTGTATGCTCTTCTGAACAAAAGTAAATGTTTTAATAATGTATTTTCAACATATGTCAATATCTAAGTTTGAAATCATTTAACTGTGAACTATAATTAGATCCGACAGAAGCCAATAAAGAAAATCCAAATGAATTGCATGGGTCTGTTGATTTTTGTAGGGGTATTTTCGCCTACACTCATAATTTCCCATTTGCTCCAATTTTATCTCCTTGGATTCTCTTAGATGAACCCACCGACTATTTGTAATTTCCCACAACTATCCCTCGGCGAACTCAAGTATTACAGAATCTTGACACTAGAGTGACAGCTAGAACAAGAAGAAAATAATTATATACATATTTTCTTTGATATTTACAAACATGTGCGACTATTTTCTAAATATTTGAATCTCACTACGCTTAAAATCTTAATAAATGATGTCATCACCAAATGTTCAATAAGGTTTAATATATCGAAAGGAAACGTGAATTTAGCAAGCCTCCTAGAGTAGAGTCTGTATAGATCTAAATTATAACCAAACACAACCTAATGATCATCAGTTAAATCATAAATGTTTTAAAAGTATTATCCAAGACTGCGAGTACTACTTGATGAGATTGTTCACAGTGGAAGAAAAGTAATCATCAACCCGATGTATTATCTTAAACTTTGAATAATTAATAACAAGTGGTCTAGCCGCTGAAATTTGAAACAAAGATTTCAATCTACTAACTACGTTTGTACTATAGTGTATATTTTAAACTGCTTCAATTATTGAGCATCATTCGGAATTTAAAATGCAAAAATTCACAAGGTAGAGAAAGTTAACAGAAGATGGTATTCATTCAGAAACCCATACGTGTATGAACCTTATAATGATTATAGAAACGCTGGCATTGGGACGTTGGAGATGGTCCTACCGTAAGAGAGGTATATTATGGGTTAACACCAATCGAATCTATCAATTCTTGTGACTCCAACAACAAAACTCTAATAAACTTCTTTTACAACAAAATTAATAAAATAATAATAATGACAACAGTACACCAACAAGGCAACACCAATGTCGATCTTTATTTGAATAAGGAATTCCGAACTTGATGTTCAAGCTACTGTAAACAATGGTCAAAGGCTATACTTTTGTCGTTCCAAGGCAAGAGTTTGTATTGTATACAAAGAAGACCATAGTCTAAAACAGTTCTCAAGATTCTCACATGTGATGTGTGTGTCTTGACTGTCTTCCTTATTGCATTAGCCAAATCAGGAAACATGATATGTGGACTACTGGACTTGCAGTCTATGCATAAAAAATTTCGTAGGTGACTAGATTGGTATAAACTATAAGCATATCACTTACGAAACAACTAAGAAATGAATAAAATCCTAGTAATTTTCAGTTACTAATAAAAATCTAAAATTTGAGAAATGGATACTCGTAGTTTAACAGTCACTTTTTCTCGGTCCAAATTACTCAAAAATTAACTCGGGAGATTAAATGTAATTAAATATCAATCCCCTATATATTATTTGTGAAGTGATTTTGCTACATGTCCTTTGTAGAATTAGTTTCACAAAAAAATGATGACATATCTATTAGAATTGATGACATGACATATGATTAAATATGATATGGACAATTGCATTTAATGTTAATATATATTTTGGAAAACTTTATAGAATATGGTAACAACTCATATATTACATTTAATATCGATTTATATTTTTGGAAATATTTTTAAAATATGGTAATAACTAACAAATCATCATTAAGATAAATATATACCAATATGGCATTAAAAATTTCGAAAATATCATTTAATTATATATTTTAAAACTATACAATTTTATTACAAAAATTTTAAAAATGCACTTTTTGAAAATTATTAAAATTTAATCCTAAAATTATTAATTTCTTATATATTTAAAAATTTAATAAATATTGTCTAATTTTATTTTTTGATAATTATAAAATTTTCTAGAAATATTTATTTAATATATTTAATTAAAATAAATAGATAAAAAATTATCTAAGATTATAATTTTAAATATATACATGCATATTCTTAAATATAATTTAAAATAAACAAAATATTTTTATATTACTTTTTATGTTTGATTAAACAAAAATTTGTATTAAAATAGTGATAAGAAAAAGAACTCATAAATTATCATTAAGATAATAAATAATATAATAGTAGAAATATAAATATAATAATATTAAAAATATTGAAATATTTTAAGTGTATTTTTATAATTATATATTTTTTATTAATATTTTTTTTTTCAAAATTTTATGCAGTTTTTTTAATTAAAATTTTCTAATCCCAATACCATTAGCTTTATTTATAACATCTATAAATTTTAGAAATATTATTTAGTTTTATATTTTGATAATTATATATCTAACAAAATTTTCTCTTAATAGTATAGAATCTGATTTAATATAATTTAACCAAAATATAAAAGATACATATATTATTAAATATAAATTTAAGAATTTTTTTTAAAGATAGACCTAAAAAAAAGTTTTAATCACAAATATAGACCTTAAAATAAAAATGATCAAGATAGACTTAAATGTTTTATCAAAAATAAGTAAATATACACTTATATCTTTTGGGTTAACTAATCGTAAACTTTTTTGTTTAAAGTTGAGGAGTGGGATTTTGGGGATAGGATTACAATTTTTTTTTGTAAAAAAAATTGAAGTTTTCAAAATAAAAAATGTTGTTTTGGTCCTTTTAGTTTTAAGATCTCTTTTGTGAAAAAACCTAAAAAAGTTATATTTGAGAGAACTGTCATATATTTAAATAAAACTGTTTATTTTCTCTTAATTTTTACATATAATTAATGTAAAATTAATAATGTAATAAAATAATAAATTTAAAATCTAATTAAATTTTATTTTTAAATATAATTTTATTTTTAAAACTTTTATTTCTGCACATGGTGCAGGAAACCACCTAATACCATTAAAACATGATTATTCTTTTTAATGAATGATTTATGTTTTTCTAAAGTACCCTTAATTTTATGAATAAATTTATTTTTTTATTAATGGCATTTTAGTCTTTTTTTATTTGGACATAAAAATTATATACTATGAGTTTTATTCATGGGCTGATTATCTTTCAAATTTTATTAAAAAAATTATTGCAAAAATAAATTTTCTTTACAGATCAGGCGGGTCAAAATTTTCAGTCGAAAAAATGATTCAACCCGCTACGGAGCGGATTGGACGAGGAAAATCAAACTGAGTGATTGAAATTTTGTAACTAAATGATTTTAAGAATTAATCACAAAACTAAAAAAATGTTAAATATACAATCTTTCTCAAATACACATTTCAGTTACAAACATTGTTAACTTATTTAGAAACATAAAAAACTGTTTTAGCATTATAAAATAAAAATTTATTATATCCGCATAATAACTTGATCTTAATTTTATAATATTTTATATCATCAAATCAAAAGACTTATCAATACATCTGTAGATAAAATAACAAAAATAATATTGGTGTTTAAGGTCAAAAATCTAATAACTTTTAGAGAAAAAGTGTGAGTAAAAGAAAAAGCGCGAAGATTATAGGGCTTACTGTTACAAATGAACCAATCAAAAACAAAACCTCTCTTAACTAAAATGGCAAACTCGTAATATAATAATCCTCACAAACCCTTTATCGACATTTAAAAATCCTTAGTCCTTCTTCTTTCTTCTCCACCTTCACTGCCACTCACACCTACACTAGCAACTACTCTCTCTTTCTCTTCCGAAGCACTCAAGAGAGTAAAGCTCTCTCTCTCTAGAAAAATGGCGGGTCGGATCCAATCCCACCAGCTTCCTAATGGACTCTACGTCTCCGGGAAGCTCGAGCAACCAAAAGACCGACCACCGACAATGGCGGCGCGCGCCGTGCCTTACACCGGCGGCGACATAAAAAAGTCC